ATGTGGAACAAGGATGACTGGACTGCTACTCACAACACCAGGGAGGCTACCTGGAAAACAGCACCCCAAGAAAGACAAAAGGATTGCCAAATTAAGGAGAAATGGATGAGATCTACATGAACAACATGGATGTGAGTGGGGGTAATGAAGGGCAAAGGTCAAGGGAAAGAGAGCTTAGGGGAGTGGGAGATCCCAGTTGGATCAAGAACAGAGAGGGAGAACAAGGAATAAAAGACCATGGTAAATGAAGACCACATGAGAATAGGAAGAAGCAATATGCTACAGAGGTCCACAGAAATCCATAAAGATAACCCCAAAATAGACTGCTGGCAATGGTAGAGAGAGAGCCGGAACTGACCTACTCTAGTGATGGGATGGCAAAACACCCTAATTGTCATGCTAGAAACCCCATCCAATGACTGAGGGAACTGGATGCAGAGATCCACAGCCAGGAACCAGGTGGAGCTTCAGGAGTCCAATTGGCAAAAAAGAGGGGGGTTTGTATGAGCGAGAATTGTTGAGACCAAGCTTGGATAAAGCACAGGGACAAATAGCCAAACGAATGGAAACACATGAACTATGAACCAATAGCTGAGGAGCCCCCAACTGGATCAGGCCCTCTAAATGGGTGAGACAGTTGATTAGTATGATCTGTTTGGGAAGCGTCCTGGCAGTGGGACCAGGTCCTGTGCTCATTGCATGAGTTGGCTGTTTGAAACCTGGGGCTTATTTAGGTTCACTTGACTCAGCCTGGGAGGAGGGGATTGGACCTGCCTGGACTGAGTCTACCAGGTTGAACTCAATTCTCAGGGGAGTCTTTGCCCTGGAAGACTGGGGTTGGGCTGGGGGGAAGGTGGGGCAGGAGAGGGGAGAACAAGAGAATCCATGGCTGATATGTAGCATTAAATTAAATTATAAAATAAAATTTTAAAAAATGAGTAAAGTCAGAGCCCAGAATTCAGTCACTCTGCCTATGATGTCCCAAAACACTCTTCATGACCACCAACCTTTCAATGTTCAACACATGTTCTTCATGGAATTTCTCTTGAAATATAAAGCCAAAGTCACCACACTGATCGAATAAGGACTATATCACAAGACAGTTTGGGCAGCACTTTGACTGTGTCTTCTTAACACAAATTTCTGATTTGTAGCATTTGCTGACCACTATAAATATCCCCATCAAAGACACATTCACAAAAGCAATATAGTATCACAGGTGTGAAGGTGAGGAATGTTGTATTAAATTGATGTGATTTTCATTTTATTTTCCAATGTCTATTTCTCATATATACAAAAGCATTTGGCATGCAGATCAATCATCCCAGATTCACCTTGCTAGGAAGACTTATCTTATAATGATTCATAATTTCTGCATAGAAAATCATGTTATATTCAAACAATAATAGTGGTATTTGATTTTCTCTTTCTTTTATAATCTCTTCTTCTGTTTCTGCATTAGCTAAGTCTTCAAGTACAAAGCTTAAAATATGTGAAGAGAGATGACTCTTAACTTCTTCAGGACGTATTGCAAAATTTCTGCTTTTTCAACATTCAGTATGATGCTAACTTGGGTGTTTTGGTACATGAACTATGCATTGGCATAATGACTGTGGAGGAAATCTGTGTCTAATTACCTGTGATTGTCCATGAATGGCTGTGGGACACTGACAAATGCTGACTCTTCATCAGAAACTGTCTCCATTTCATACATTTTTAATTTTAACCTTGTTACTATCAT